ACAACAACAACAACAACAACAACGCCTCCAACAACAACAACAACAAAAACACCACCAACAACAACATCACAACAACAAAAACACCACCAACAACAACATCACAACAACAAAAACACCACCAACAGCAACAACATTATCACAGCAACATCACATCAACTACAACAACAACATCACAACAACATCACATCAACAACAACAATAACATCACAACACCACCACATCAACAACAACAACAACAAACCATTATCACAACGAGATCACATCAACAACAACAACAACACCATCACAATAACATCCCATCAACTTCAACAAGAGCGGCAAAAATGCATGGCGACCTATCTTACAGTTAAGCCTCAGGTGATATAATGATCAGCGAATTCGTTCTTTTCAATCATCTCATTCGAAAATAAATTGAAAAAACCTGTACTGCTGCAGTCACTATTAATACTACTACTACTACTGCTGCTGCTACTGCTATTACTACTACTGCTGTTGTTATTGTGGCCGCTGCTAGTACTACTGCTGCTACTACTACTACTGTTGCCATGAAAGAATAATTCATCAAAAAATAATTTCATTATTTTTACAAATTTAATAACGCTGTGTGTGTGTGTGAGTGTGTGTGTATCTGTGTGTGTAAGTGCGTGTGTGTGTGTGTGTCTGTATGTGTGTGAGTCTGAATCGTCACTAATCTAACATACACTGGGTATATTTTCTTGGGAGCAGATTTCTTCACTAAGCAGACGATCTCTTATCTCCCAGGCGAATATGCTCGGACACTCCTTCTTGTAATGGGCAATCCTCTGGACCACACTCATCGTAGCCACCCTGCATGTTTAAAAGTAAATTCAGTAAATTATTACTATTGTAAATATAATTATGTAATTATAGTTAGTCGGATTTGGAGGCTGGAATAACAAAGAAATGGAGACCCTTAACTACTTTTATTATTGTTACACTGTCTTTGTTGGCACCATTTTTGTGGGGACCTTCCGGGCGATGGTCCTACCCTATCTACCCCTTTAAAACATGCTCTGCTTACAAAAGTCATTGTTGTCGTTTTGTTGTTTTTATTATTTTTACTGTTACCCTTTCGATGAAAATTAGAAAGAGAAAAAATTTCGACAAACCTCGGCTTACTGCCCCCAATCGTTCTAGGCCGTATGCTCCCACTTTCATAATATCTGCCCAGGATTTTGCTCACACATCCGTTCGAGACCTAAACGTTCAACAAAATAAAATCTTATTGGTGTAGTGGTAGAGTGTCTGCTCGATGTGCTGAAGCAGCCGAGTTCGACTGCATAAGTAGCATAAATCAAATTTTGAATAGTGTTTGTAAAAAGTTAAATCTAGAAAAATCTTCTTGGGTATATATATTAAATTTCAATCTAATTTATATAGCCAAGTACTCAGACAAATCATCAGCAATCATCAGCATCTTTCGGCTATATAAATTGGATTGAAGCTTTTATCAAACGTGTTTGAAAATTATCTTGCATAATTTTGTATAAATATTCATATTTGATAGAACAATATTATGATTTAGGTTGAAAAAATTTGTTTGTTTGTTTAAAGAACCTGTAGAATTCTTGAAATGTCACAGGGTCGAGCCCCATTGTGGGCCAGCTCGACAATTTTTTGTCTGGTGGTGTCTGGTAAGGGCCTGCCATTCACGAACATACCCCCCAGCTGGTTCACCCCGCTGTGACCTGAGCAATTAAAAAAAACGCTGTTTAAATGAAAGAAAATAGTTTTGATAGTTTAACTATTAACTTATTATTATTATTGTTATCATGAAAAATAAAATTATTGTTATAATAAAGATAATTATTATTATTATAACAATTATAAAAAATATTACCATTTAATTATTTATTTATTTTTTTTTTATTATTTGATAGAGAAATGTGTCCACATGTGTTTTTTGCATTGCGCACATTGTCTATTCGTTGAAAGTTTTTTATTTTTATTATTCTTTTTCTTATTATAATAATTATTAGATATCTTCTTCTTTTTATTATTATTTTTTTAATTATTATTATTTATTTTATATTTTTTTAACGTCACTCGGCTTACGACACCAAATGGTGATGATTGATTAATGATGATGATACGAACGATAGAGACGACGACGATGATGATGATGATGGTGATGATGACGATGATGATGATGATGATGATGATGATGGTGGTGGTGGTGGTGAAGATTTTGACTATGGCGATTATGATGTTAATGCCAAAACCAAAACCAAATTACTTACCCCGATTAAAAAACGCCTTAGAATCTGTCATATACAAACTAACAAATATACAAACACACACACATACAAACATACACGCATACATACAAACACACACACATACATACAAACACACACACATACATACAAAAACACACACACACACACAAACGAACAAACAAAAAAACAAACATGCAAGCAACCCTCCATTTGACGCCTAGAACCTTATGGCAGATGGTTTGGAATATTCTTTCGTTAATTAAACGATTAATAATAATAATAATAATAATTTAATAAATAATTATAATAATAATAATAAAAACAACAATAATTTTATCTCATTAGGTTTTGTC